TTTTTACTTATGTTTTTGTTAACTATATCTTACTGGATTGTTTTGTTTTATTTTTTTAACACAATGGTAATTCTTCATTGTAAGCTCACTGTTATTACTGTTGCATTCTTTTGTATTTTTTTGATACGTTTGTACTCACCTGAGGCATTGAATGCTTGTCTTTTTGTGTGTGTAAACCACCCCGAGTCTCTTCAGGGAGGGACGGCTGTCTAGAAATACAGTTCTTGTTGTTGCTTCTGTTGTTGTTGTTGTTGTTGTTTGCTCTGAGGCTGAGAGAATGTGACTTGGCCAACATCACCCAGTGGGTTTCCATGGCTGAGTTGGGGTTTGAAATTTGATGCAACACTCAAATTACTACATCTTGCTGGCTTTCTGTGTTGTGCAACCTAGTTGCCATAATACCCAAGTGGAAAGAAACTGTTGAAAGAGATGTGAGATTCATGGGATGGAACAGATAAGATGGTGGTGCATCTGGCCACTAGAAACTCTATTCAAGGTGTACTCATCCCCTGCTGAAAACCTCAGTTGACATGTATAATTCTTATCTTCTCTTTTATATTTTCTTCTTGCTATTGTATTTTCATATTCCCTATTGTCAACACGGGGAAGCTGTAGAATTTTGCAACAGGGTCTTCTAAGGACAGCGTAGTTCTCCAGGAATTAAGGGCAATAGTTTCTCAGTAACATCAACAAATAAAAATTTATTGCTAGAGAAGGCAACCACATTTGCACTTTGAACATCTGTCATGGTTTTCAAGGGAAGTTGTAAGGGTTCTGGATTTAGTGAAGCTTCCCTGTCTAAGGATCTGCTGTTCAACTAAGGTCAGTGTGAGAAAATAACTGTATTGCTCAAGCCATGACATTGCAACAGCAACTTGCTTGTCCTAGAGTGTTTGTTAGATATTATAATTGTTAAAAGTTTTCTCATAAAAGGGCAGGCTAGAACATTTCCCTTCACTCACCCCAAGCAGTATAGGTAAGTAAATTTCCCTAAAGGACTTTAGAGATTCAAAACAATGTCTAACAAATAATCAGCCAGAAAACAGAACACTGAACTGTGAGATTTCTTGAAACTCAAGCATCATTTTCTTGGAATTCTCATGCTTGAGGGGATGACCTAAAGTTCAGCTTGGAAATGTTACTTTTGAATCCCCAAGTCAGTATAGCAAGTGGCTGAGGGAATTTTTGAACTGTAGTCTGAAAAGTAACTTTTCCAAACCCTGCCTGAGAGGCATCTCAGATGTCACAGCTTGGATCCATTGACTATAATTATTGTGGAATTGCATTCATAAGAATAGAATTGATCTGTATTGGAGCCAAGAGAAAGTTCTAGAGAGAGAAAAAAAACAGGGAATGTAAGAACAGTGGGCCATTGGTCTCTGCTGGGGTTTAGTTCCAGGGCACCTGTTCTGTATGTGGCTTTCACATTCAGTGAATGCTGAAGTCCCATTACATACAGCGGATTGGGACTAAACCCTAATAATACGTTTTCTTTTGGCATTTTTCAAAGCCTGTCTCATGAAGGGCTTGGGGAAATTGAGCTGACAATGGGGATTTTCATATCTGCTAACGTTTTTAATTGTTTAATAGATAGGTAAAGAGTTACAGAGTTATGTTAATACTCTATTATTAAATGGATTGCAGAAAGGTGAGGAATGATCTGATGTGGCTTTAGAAGGAGAGAAGATGTAGGTATGGCTTTGCCTTGAAGCTTTGCGTTCCCAGAAGCTGATGAAATCCCTCCTCCCTCCATTCTTACCAATTGTCACTTAGTCTGGCCTCTGAGGGAGAAAACAGGAGCCAAATTTGTTGGACTTAATCCTGGCTCAGACTTCCATCACCGTTTCCTTATATGCTGTGTCTTTTAAGATTGTGTAAACCTAATTAACAGTTTATCAGTTAGCTCTGAATATGTTTTTATTCAGTTTTGTGAATTTTAACTGTAAATTTTGAATGCCATTGATATTTAATTATGTTTTAATGTTTGTATATTTGTAGATTTTAACTTACATTGAAACGCTTTTAATGCAAGCCACTTTGACAAAGTAGGGTATAAATAAACATAACAATTAACATAATAAACATAATAATAATAGTTTCTCTGGGAGACTTTTTGACTGGAGGGCAATGTGTAAATACAATCAATCAATCAATCAATCAATCAATCACTTAGTCAATATGTATATCATTAGAGCTGTGCCCTATGCTGTGTTTTAGAACAAAGAGACCGTAAAAAGCAAGCAAACTAACTTAAAAATGCCTCAAACCATCTTTTTTTGGGGGGGGGGGCACTGGATAAAAAAACAGCTTCTGATTGTTATTATGTCTACATTCTGTCTGTCCATCATTATGATTTTGCAGTGGCTGGAAATCACACTGCAATTTCCTGAAGTCTTCACTGTTCACTATTTGTAGTCCAAATCTATCTAGAGGTCCACATGAACTCCAGCCCAGTTATGAATTTTTCATCACAAGCATGGTGGTGACAATGATGACAGCAGTGAGAATGAGATTCTTGCTCAAAGGGTTTTTAACTTTTCTTGATGGTTCTGGAGCTTTTCCAATGCAGCACTGAATCATCTTCAGAGTCTTTTTGATGTTCAGATGGCCAGCTGGGCCAACATTACATTGGTGCCATTGCTGCTATGTAGAAGCAATCCCCCTTGCAGAGGCCTGCTAGAAGTGTTGCTGGTCATAAGACTGAGTGCCCTATTTTGATCTCATAAAAAGTGGCATCACCAGCAAGACTTTGTTGAGGAAGTTTATAGCTGCTTCTGGCTGGTGACTCAGTGGTGGGCCTGTTGGAAGTATGCATGCTGGATTGGTCCCAATACAGCCTGAGCCAGCTGTTCACACCTTGGAAAAAATCCTCTTGCACCAGATAAACAGCTTGAAACAGCTAAAATCCACCTGTATGTTATTTGGACTCCTTGCAGCAATTGCAAGGTGAGTCCCCTTTATTTGACCAGTGCACCCATGGCCCAAGTGCTGCTGTGTGTGTGTGTGTGTGTGGTGGTGGTGGTGGTGGTGGTGGGGGTGGTGGTGGGGGGGGGAATGAAAGATTAGATCAAGTATCTTTAGGCTTCTGCCAATGTTTGTGGATGTGTGTGTTGCTTTCTTAGGTTGGGTCATGCTAGAGCAGTGCATACGGCTTCAAGTCAGCCCACATCCTTCACCCAAAGAACCTGTGAAGCAGGTGCAACGACACCAGTCAGGGGAAATCCTCAACTGATGTGCCGCCGTTGGAGCAGGTGCTTGAGACTTCCTTGTTTGCCCATGTGACAGCTCCACTGCAGTGTATCAGCTACTATACTGTGGTATTTTTTCACTTCAAGGAAAATTCACTTCTTGACCATGAAATGAGTGCAGTACATATTAACACTGAGCATGTTGTTATCTTATTCAATTACTATTGTTTTTGATAAAGGTGGTTGTGGTGGAGTGAGGGTGGGGTAGAAAGAGAGTTGGAGCAATTTGGAATGACCTGCTATACGTTTCACAGAAAGAGCCACATCATTTCCACATGTTGTAGTGGGAAGGTACTATGGTAGGGAGATCTATTCTTCAATTTGAAAGTACCAGCTGTCGTTTGGTTGTAGCCAACACACTGTACTTAGCTTTGAATCTGTCAATAAATCCAAAGACTTTTGCATGAAACATTTGGGTGTTTCTGTTTTCTGAATTCTTTGTCAGTCTGTGAATTATAGGAAGAAGGTTGGGAAACAACCAAACAACCTCAGTTTCTCCCTTCACTTTTTCTACGAAGTTAGAGATGAAGGAATGAGTCAGAGTCCAATTGGATGATGGTACCAGATGGAAGAGTAAGGCCAACTTCTTCACCTTTGGAATTTATTTATTTATTTATTTATTTATTAGGCTCTTTTTTCCAATAAAGGAGACTTCACAAATTTAAGTTAAATCAAAATACAGTTAAAATTGTGGTTAGTACAAAGGTGTTTTTCTTTAAATCAACTAAAATCATATTAGATTAATTTTAAAAAATTTAGAAGATAGATTATAAATTGGTGCAGCCATCTTCTTAGACTTTGGCAGGAATTCTTTAAGTAATATCTTTTAATGGCCAGTAAACACAAACAAGTTTCAAATGTTAGGTGATATGCCTCTTAGGTAGAAACAGGTCCTCTTCCTCTCTATGTTTTGAAACCAATCCTACTGAGGTTTACCACTGTTCTCAAACCAATTCCGATTAGATTGTATAGTAATGTGCACCTAATATTGCTGAAGCAAAATTACTTGGAAGGATTATATGAGTGAACAGAAGGTATTTCTAAGTAAATGTGTTACTTAGTTTTAGAATTAAGGGTAACAAAGCATGTCATTACATTTCCTCACGTGGTGTTTTGGGGCTGTGTGGGAAGGAAACTAGATTAATTGAACTGGATTAAGAACTCAGTTCTCCATTTCTGTGCTTTAGTGTGCAGATTTGTGTCTGCCTTTCTATACCACAAAGAACATTTTGTGATAGAAATTGGATTCTGGTTACACTAACTTAAGACAAACTTCTGGTAGCCATATGGTCCTTGTAACTTCATATAAGTATGTTGATGTCTGGAATTAAAGAGTTCGTGGTGTAGGACAGAAAATATGTGGATGGTTATTCAGGGGTCACTGAATGCTAGGCCAGTTGTGCTGCTTCAACGAACAACTTGGCCATCTCAGATTTTCCATATGCAGAGTAAAAAGGAAGAACAGGCTGGCTCTCGCATGGAGAAAGACTCAAAGGGAAGAAAAATATTTTTCAGGATTAATAATGTTAGGACATGAAAGAAACAGTGAAAAAAAATGCTTGGAAAGGAAGAAGTGCTCTGACAAGTGTGACCTCTGTTTTTCTCATGAGTCCCTTTCTTTGAAACCAAAGCTGCCTTTAATGTGCACCAGGTGTCATTGGGGATTCCACTTCCTCTCAGGATAGGAAATTTAGCCTTGCAGTTTCAGCATCTCCAATGTCCTGTATGTGAGTATATTCATATTTCTTTCAGATGTAGCCCAAGGGTTCAAAGGGCACAACGAGTTTGAAACATGACTTCTTTTTCTCCTGTGGCTGCCATCAAAGGTAAGGAAGCACAATACTTGGTTTGTTCATTTTAACAACTAGGTTCCAATGAAGCATTTGGGTCTGTGAGGTTGTAAATGGAAGCCGGGGTGGGTGGCGGGGGGAGTTCTTACCTGTTGTGCCTCTTACCTCCTCCTGGATGTGGGCATCTCTGTTTTCCTACTTCTACCTGTGTTACATTGGCTCCCTGCTCTTGCCATTTTGCACACCACAGTGCCTGAGCCCTTCACGGTCACCTTTATGCTTGCTTGCACAAGTCAACAGTTGTTTAACTCAAGGTGATGGTGGTTGGCAGGGTGTATCAAATTGAATGAAGTAGCAGGATGAAAAAACCTCATTTACTTAGGGTTGAGTCACAAACATCAATGATTTCAGGTTGCTGCTTCTGGTGAAGGCTGACACAGACATTAGGAAGAATGAGGCAGCCACTTCGGCAAGAGATGTTGATAGGAGAGGGGAACAGGAAGAGATTCTGAGATATTGGATGTCAAGGCTGCATGTGCCCTGCAGAGCATTTCTTGTGTTCTGTAACCCCGCCATGTTGCTCTCATATACAAGGGGAAGTGCAAACCCATCCCCACTGTTGCACAGATTTCAATAACCATTTAAAATAATGTTTTAAATTTGCTAGGTTGGTTTCAATATTCACTGTCCTGATATCTCTACATCGGGGGGGGGGGGGGGGGTGGCAGATGGGAAATAAATAAATAAATAAGAATTTTGAGGTCATTTAAGGGCTAGCATCTATGGAAGGTAAGAATAAATTTCTGGGAAAAGTTGGGAGTCCAAAGAAGGAAGCCTCTTCTTCCCACCAGCCAGAAGAAGGGAACTATTAGTCCTACAGATGTTTTAGATTTTAACTCCTCAGATTCTCAGACAGCAGTGCCAATGGGAAAGGATTTGTGAGTGGGAGGGTGTTTCATGCTTTGCCTTACATCATCTTCTTGACTCCTGCCAAACTGTAAGTAGACTGGATGTTTCACTAATAGGAGATAGTCATTGATTCACCTTGAATTTGGGAGGTGACTGCCCATTCCTTAGCTCTTAATCTCACACTGATTTGAGCACAGAGTCTAATTTGTTTTGATAGCATGTCCTTGTATCATTGTATGAAGATTCAGAGATGCCTTATTTACTTTTTTTCAGTACCAATATTGGTTTAGGAAGCTTATGGAATTATGTAAAAAGTGGTTGTGAAGTGTCAATCTCTGCATGTGCTTCAGTTGTGCAAAGCAATTCTGGTATTAAATGCAGGTTTTATGGAACAAAATTTATAACCCACTGCACAACCCAATCTGCATTCATATGCACAACCAAATACACAACATTTGCATGAGCAGTGGCACCTCACATACAGCCCCACTTCTGCAACCTTGAAATGTGTGTGAACATTGTCCACTGGGTAAAACTGTCTGACCACTGCCACAGGAGAAAGTGTAAAACACTGGTTTAGAGTCCCAAATCTGTTTACACACTGCAAGTTTGTACACACAAATCTGTGTTCAACTATGTCTTATCTCTCATGCCATTGGTTGATGTTAGTCTTGGAATGTGGACAGAAAGTAGAATAATTTCATATAATGAAACTTGTGTGGAACCTATTTCCTCTGTGAGGCAGGAATGAATGACATATAGTCTGTGTTGTCGAAGGCTTTCATTGCTGGAATCACTGGATTGCTGTGAGTTTTCGTGCTGTATGGCCATGTTCCAGTAGCATTCTCTTCTGATGCTTCACCTGCATCTGTGACAAGCATCCTCAAAGGTTTGTTCAGACCTCTGAAAAAACCTCTGAGGATTCTTGCCATGGATGCACTGAAACACCAGTAGAGAATGCTACTGGAACATGGTCATACAGCCTGAAAAACTCACAGCAATACAGACATACTCTGCACACTATTCTTTCCTATTTCTCATTTCTGGAGCCCATGGAGCTGCCCAAACATTGCTGCAAAGAATTTGGGGAGGAGGAAATTAAAATTAATATGCAGGAGTGACATTAGGTCACTTTTGATGTATGAAAATTGTGAGGAAAAATAGATTTTAGGTGAGGATATGATATTCAGGTGTTTTGAAGTATGCCTAAAAATTTGGACCTCAAACTCAGCAAAGTTGCCTAATGCTTGTCTAGGATGGAAACAAAGCTCTAGTGTCAGTTTTCAAGGCTTCGGACTATTTGATCTGTTACCCTTGGACAATAAATGCAGTACAATACAATTTTATTTAGTTATTTGAAAAGCAAAATGCTCCCAGCATGAGATCCAAGGTAGTTAACAACACTAGAAAACAAAACGTAGATAAAAATGCATAAAACTATGCAAATGATGCTGTTTTTAAAAGCAGAGTTCATAATGCACATTTAAAACATACTATTATAAAAAAGATAAAAGCATTGCACAATGTAGGAGTAGTAAATGGAAAGTAGTTTTGAGTCTCTGAATTTTAAAATACGTTTTAACAGAACTGTATATAGAGTCCGGGAATATAGTACTCAAATTTCAACATTTAAATGATGAAAAACAGAAAAAGTTAGGAACATAAACTAAACATGAAAAACCCATCCCTGCTTGTTGTCTGAGCTTGGTTTAAAACTAGGCTGTAAGATAGCAAAAGTTTCTGTCTCCCTCTTGGTTCTTTTCTCCTTAGAGCCCTTCTGTTGTCTGAAAAGGATCTTGTGTTTAGTGTTTCACCATTTGGAATGCATGAAGTCAGTGAGAAGCATCGCTAAGGAGATATGCATCCTTATTTTTTGTTCAAAACCCTCAGCATGTTTACCTTCATAGTACTTGGCAGAGTGCCTAGGTCATATGGGACCAAGGGAACTGAAGCCCAGTCTAAACAAGGTAGAACAAAATGTGCAGAGTATCATGATAATGTCTAGCAGTTCTTTAAGTGCAACCCACATACATATTACCAAGTAAAATTGCCTTAAAATGTAGGATTATTTTCCAGCAATGGGATGTGGGTTTGAAAAAATTATAAGTACAGAATGGAAAGGTAACTTTCTAAAGTTACACTATCCAGATTCTCCTCCCACAATCAGCAATGCTAGTTACTGAAATAGTAATTTTGTGTAGCTTTGTCGTTGTAAGGGTTTAAAAATACTGACTTGTATTTGTCAATATTCTCTTACAATGATATTTAACTATATTCTTCATAGCAGGGTGGGAATAATATCTTGTTTTGTTATTGTATGTAGAAAACTTGAAAAAAGAAGGAAGTGCTTATTTTTCTCTTCCTTGGGCTGTAGATTAATGAACTCAACAGATTGTCTTAATATTTCTTGATTTATTTAATGTGAAAATGAAAAAAATTGGGTTTTCTGCTCATCTGGACACCAAGATGATGGAATTCAGACTGTCATATTTTTGCGATGTCATGAGAATCCACAACTCACTAGAAAAGGCAATACTTGATTAGATAGAAGGCAGTAAGGAAAAAAGCCAGTATTCCAGATGGGGAGACTATCAAGGAAACTATGGCCCTGAGTCTGCAGGACATGAGCAGGGCTGTTGATGAAAGGGTGACTTGGAGGTCTCTCATTCATAAGGAGACCATAAATCAAAGTTAATTGTGGTTAATAACAATGAGGTGGCAAAATATTTTCCACCAGGCTTGTCAAGAGGTTTTGCATTTGAGAAGAATATTTATGCATATTTTGTAAATTAGATGGTGAAACTACAATAGCTTCTGCTTTTTTGTATAATCTTTTAAAAACGAGAAGCACCTAATGGCGTGTTTGTGCCATTTTGATCAATCACCTTGCCCTTCTCTGGTGTAGTGGAACCAGAGCTTATAAGACCAAAGCTCTGGAACTTTTTAAAGAGCTGGTACTATGACGTCATCTGCCACAACCTCTGGACTCTCTTGTACTCTCTGAGCAATATCAGTCCCCACATTAGGTAGAGGAGAAATGGGTTTTCCTAACAACAGACTGGTTCAAGATTGGGAAACAAGTATGGCAGGGCTGTATACTCTCACCCTGCCTATTCAACTTGTATGCAGAACAAATCATGCGATGTGCGGGGCTTGACAAATCCAAGCTGAAGTTAAAATTGCTGGAAGAAAATTAACAACCTTAGATATGCAGATGATAACATTTTGATGACTGAAAGCAACGAGGAGCTTAGGAGCCTTCTAACCAAGGTGAAAGAAGAAAGTGCAAAGGGTGGGTTGCAGTTAAAAAAAAAACAAGATTCTGGCAATCAGGCTGATTGATAACTGGCAAATAGAGGGAGAAAATGTGGAGGCAGTGACCAACTTTGAATTTCTAGGTGCAAAGCTTACTGCAGACACAGACTGCATCTGGGAAATCAGATGACGTTTACTTCTTGGGAAGAGAGCAATGACCAATCTCAATAAAATAGTGAAGAGTAGAGACATAACAGTCACAATGAAGGCCCACATAGTTAAAGCAATGGTATTCCGCGTAATAACATATGGATGCAAGAGCTGGACCATAAGGAAGGCTGTGCAAAGGAAGATAGACATTTTTGAACTGTGATGCTGGAGGAAAATTCAGAGAGTACCTTGAACCACAAGATCAAACTAGTCCATACTCCAGGAAATAATGCCCGACTGCTTACTTCAGGGAAGGATATTAGAGGCAAAGATGAAGTACTTTGGTCACATAATGAGAAGACAGGAAAGTTTGGAGAAGATAATGACGCTGGGGAAAATGGAAGGAAAAAGGAAGAGGGGACGACCAAAGGCAAGATGAATGAATGTTATCCTTGAAGTGACTGGCTTGACCATGGAGGAGCTGGGGGTGGCAATGTCCAACAGGGAGCTGTGGCATGGGCTGGTCCATGAGGTCATGAAGAGTCGGAAGCGACTGAACAAATAAACAACAACTAAAACAATTGTTGTAAACCACTTTTTCAGGGGTGGTTTAGTTGTGAGTTGGCAAGATAAATTAGCCTCTTCTTCTGGTATAACTACGTAGAATTGTTTCAATGAATGTAGTTACCTGCATTTGGAACTCCCCTTAGATGTGTTGCTAT